AATCTCAGGGAACCTATTATTCTATCATGAGGGGACCCCAAGTTCCTTTTAGGCAACCAAACTTTGTCTCCTTCTAACTGCTAAATATTGAATCTCTTTTCCTGTGATCCACAAAACAGTCAAAAATCTCTTGTCAATGTGTAAAACTTTTGAGCATCTCTGGCTGCTATTATGTCTACCCTTTCCACTTCCCAGCATTTTCTTGTCTCTGCCAAGTTACATCTCTAATTCTACATGGTGCTTGTCTTTCCTCTGTTTGGTCTCTTCTAAACGTATCCCACTTTCATGAAAATAAATCCCTTTAAGTATAACTCAACGATTATTTAATATTAATAATCAATCTTACAGAAATGAAATTTTATTCTTAAAGGCTATGCATGTTTCTCAAAGACTAACCAGTTACTCTTCTGTAACATTCAATTAAGAGTATATACTTTGTCTTAACCAATATATTTTCATCCTATTTGCATGATTACATGTATTAGATTTGTATTTTCTTGTTCAAGTGCAATTCTCAAAAATAAGAACAACGGCACAAGAGGTTCACTGAAGCACAGAAGTTAAAAAGAAAAAGACAAATATTAACACTCAGAATAATATAGTGAAAAAATACTCCAGTGCAAATATGGAATTAATTTACAAGTGCAGTTAGACCCACATGTGTAATTAATGTGCACAAAGAGTTTGCTACCCCCACAAATGAAGTACAAATAAAAACAATAATTAGTATCTGACAACACGGATTTCATTGGACCAGGAGGTCCTTTGTGGTTAGTTCAATGTACTGTCTGATTGAGAATGTCCAAAAGAAGCATGAAACCCAAACACTTGTAACTACCTTTTAAACAAATCTCGGTGATATACTAGGACACTAATCATTTCTCTGGAATAGGTACAATATAATTTTTCCAATATTACAGAGATGAAGTCTGCCTCTAATGATGAAGCCCCAAACCACAGCACTATGATTAAACATTAAAAATTTGTGTGCCAATAAAGGAACTGAATCACACAATTGCTGAGAAGCTTGTAACATGTTATTACAATACTTTGGTCAGAAGGAAGCAGCATAAGCTAAAATCCTTATTACTGTATTTTTGCCATGTATAATGTGCACTTTTGGGCCCAAATTTTTTAGGGAAAAATAAGGATGCGCATTATACAGGGGTAGTACCTGAAAAACTATGTGTCTGTTCTTGTGTTTTGTAATTATTTGTTACAAAAAATTTCTTATACCATAATATGTTCAAAAATAAATGCTAAAATTCCTTTATAATACGAAAAACAAGTATCTAAATATAAGTAAATCCATAATTGAATTAAAATATTAAAATGAAGGGTTTTTCCTGAAAGTTTGGGCCAAAAACGTGGGTGTACATTATACATGGGAGCACAATATACAGTAACACTGTCTGATGTCATATATTATCAACATCATTCATGATAGAAAAGCAACTATTACATATGCACGCTGGCAGAAATTTTCCTTTACAGTTGAAAAAACACAAGTACACAGTATGTGTCAATATTACGCAAATACACAAGACACTAGTAAGAATTCAATGACTTTTTGATATGTTTAATCTCCAAAAACCATGCTATTAGGACGGCTTTTTTGGGGTTTTTTTTAAGTGAATAATGACTTTTTTAAGCCATGCTATAGTCTGAAAAGGGTATCTTGGTTTTACTAAAGGATGCAATACCTACAGTGCTTTTGAATTGAAAGGTTGCTCTGAATACCCTTGTATCTACAGTGTGTTTTTCTTCATGGTCTTAGAGAAATAAATCAAATTCAGCCACTGGACATTTCTTTTCAATATAAAAGGAAATGGATCACATATGTTAAGACTTATTTTACATTTATGAATCATAGCTGTCTATGTAAAAAGGGAACACATTTGTTTGTAAAATGAGATAAACATTTCTTCATGACACCATAATGCCAGTTTTTCAAACACCATCTCAATGACTTCAAATACATTCCTCAAGTGGTATATATAAACAATATACTTAGTATCTGGAACCGAGTACCTGGGAAAAATATAATTTTCATTTTAAGGATAACAACAGGATTTTTTAAAAGCACCAGTAGTTGATTTGATCATCAAAAGCAAACATTTCTCCCACACATAATGATTTTCCTCAGTTGCGGGAGTTTATAAAAATGTATTACTGGGCAAATCTAAAAACTATATCCAAACACTGCAGTTAAACACTTTACAGAGCCAAAAACAGACAAAAAGAGGATAAGAAATCAACTGTTTATCTCTCAAAATGAAATAATATCCTAACTTTTGTGCATCTGACAAAGTACTGGAAGTAATTTTCCATTTTTCTTTCCTATTTTTAACTTTAAAGTTCCTTTTATGATTTTTGGAGACAACTAAAATAAAATGCAAGCCACTCAACTGTGTCAACCAAAACACTGATCTTCAACAGCAAACCAGCCTGGTTTAGCATAGTTGAGAACAAGACACAGTAGTTTTGCATGCTAATTTTACACTATCAAAACCAATGTTACAAAATAACCATAATCAGTATCTTTCACTGGCCTGAGGAACACTGACTGATAGCGTCATTTCCCTGATAAGCTTCAGTCAAGACAATTGATAAAAACCTATAGGGCAGGTTAAGAACTACGGCATCTTTATTTATAGCAAAAACTGAAGTAGTTTCTGACTATCTGAAAGTTCAAAAGTTGCCCACATACAGTTTTAGTAAATGGTTTACCATGAAATTTCTTCTTTACAACTCTCTTAAATCTAAAGTTATTTTGAAACAAAATTTAAAAGAAAAAATGTTTAATGCTTTTCTCTTTGCTATCATTAGAAAATATATAAGCCTTTTATCTCAATGGCCAATAGAAACTTTGAAGCAATAAAGCCAAATCCCGTTTGATGGCACAATGAAATCTAAACAATTCTAAACAGAAGAGCTTTATTATTTTTAGCTCCCCCACCAACATATTGCCTTACATTATCTTAAAAACATGTACTATACAAAGAGCAATATAAATAGTTCTGCTTCAGAACCAAAATTAAATTTAAAATTAAAAAAACAATTCTACTTAAATTCTTAAATAAAAGTTAAAATTTATAAGATAATAAAATCATAAACTATTAATTATACCTCAAAAGTTTTACACTTGTCAATAAAGACATTCAAAATCTTCTGTTAGCAAAAGAGAATGTTGACCAAAACTAAAAAGACATTTTTCATATCAACAAAACTCAATTAAGAAAAATAGAAGGAAGAAAGAAAACAAATTGAATGTAGGCATACCAGTATTACTAAAGGGCTGGAATTTTATAATGTCTTTTAACAGGATGATACATTTGTCAATTCCAGGCCCAGTATAACATTGCTGAGGGTAACTGTATTCCCAGTAATAGGCACGTAAGTATTCAATAAATGTTTTTACTGAATTTGGACTAGACTGTGAAAAATTTTGCGCATACAATGAAACACTGTCAAAAATGCTTGACAATAAAGATAATCAGATACACTGTACTGACACAGGAACCAAAGTAAAAAACTTGAACAATGGATACATAAAACAAAATTTTTACAGCTTTAAAACATTTAGAATACAACAAAAACAACTTAAGCCTATGCAATAACACAACACAATGTATATAATTCAGAGATACACCATTAGCAAAAAATTCAAAGGATTTAGTATTAAAGCGTTAGAATGAAAAGATTCCTAGTTAGCCAAAGTATTGAGGTTTTCGGACAGAGCTATCTGACAAATTTATGGATGACTAGCAGGCCACCTAATTCAAACTAAGTATTTTTATATTAAAATAGTAAGTAAAAAATATTAAAAGAAAATTTAAAAATATACTGAAGACTGAAATGCAGTTTAGAGTCACTGAAAAATGGACCAACACAACCTAAACCTGTGAACTACTCTAGGGAACAGCGAGGGGAAGCCTCATTTCTCCACGTGAAGCTGATTTTCCTTTATCTAATTCTAGCTTTTAAGATAAGTTAACTGCACCAAAGTTTTTGTAGTATTTTCTTTGCATTATAAAAATCTATGTATTTTCCACATACTAATATATCTCTGAAATAATTTCTAAGAATTAGTTTAGCCCTACAGAAAGATTGAGTTACTTTCCTCAATCGTTCATTGACTGCAACTACATGCAGATCCTAGAGCAGTGCTAGCCAATAGAAACATAATACAAGCCACATATGCATTGAATAATTTTAAATTTTCAAGTAGTGACTTTAAAAACAAAGGTAAAAATAGACGTGAAATTAATTTTAATGATATATTTTATTTAACCAAAATATCACCTCAACATGCAATCAACATTACAAAAATTTTTAATGAATTATGTTATTCTTTCTTTCCATCTCTTTAAAATCTGATGTACATTTAACAGCACATCTCAGTTAGGAGCAGACTCATTTCAAATGATTAAGTTGCCTGTGCCTAGCAGTTACTATGCTGGCTAGCACAAGTCTAGAGTTCTTTCTCAGGTTTTGAGGTACCTGTAAAAATACCAAAAGATCTGAAATAGGTGCACACAATATATTAGACTAGAGGGGCTGGAAGGGACAACAAGAAAGGTCAATTCAGCTGTTCCCCTTGACTCCAGTAGGCCTAGGATGACGTCCCAATTTGCTAGGCAATTCCTATTTGCTAGGCAGAGTCCCAATTACAACTGCTGTCATGATGTAATTATTCACAGCACCCCCTGTAATTCTCAAAAAGTGTCCCACTTAGGATGAGAAATTACATGGTTGTCCTATCTATATCCATAATACTATCTTCGAAAATAATTCCACACTTCCTAAAATTCAGTTTAAATTCTAATTTTGATGTCTAGGATATCTAAAGTCAAAGGAAAGAGCCCTAAATTCACTACCCTCATCAAAAAAAAAAAAAAAGAAAAAAAAAAGAAAAAGAAAAAAATGCTGCTAAAAATTCTTTTTATTTTAAATTGCAGACTAAAAAAAAAAAAAAAAAAAAAAAAAGTAAGATTTACCTGTTGAACAAGGCATCTGGAAATTGGGATCATTGCTATCCAAAACAGGCAAACAGAACTGGTTACTTGCAGATCCTAGCATAGGATCCTTATCGCTGAGCATGTTCTTCAGCGAGTCCTCTAAGACATTTTGACTTGTACTAAAATCCTCACAGACTTCATTCTCCAGGTTGGATCCTAGAAATAGGGCATCATCTAAGTGTTCAGTAGGAATTAAATGATTAAATGTATCAACTATATCCATGAAGACTTCTGTGTGTCTTTCAACCCTATAGAAAGACAAAAAAAATACCATAAGAAATAAAGCTACCAATTGATAATCACCTAAAACCAAATTATTTTAATAGTTTTGAGTCTAAGAACACACTTAGGTATTTCTGAATTGTTAAAAAAAAAAAAATCCTCACTGTTTTCCAATATACATTTGGACATGTAGAACGAATTGTTACTAAATAATGTTTCTTCATCATGCATGTAGAATATCATTTTACCAGAAATCCTATTAAATGTTTACTCATTATTTTTCAGAGGTGGGGGAACACTATGTATATACTGCATTAATTTGACACATTTGAAAGAACTACAAGGCTTAAACCATAAGAATCATATATTTTAAACCATAATCTTCCCATAAATTGAAAATCAGACACTGGTTTTATAATAAGTCCATATAAAAGAGCCAAAATTAAATAATTTATTGTACCATACACATTAAAACTGCAAAATAGTCTTGTTATATTTACAAAGCATTTAAAGAAAGGTAATATAGAGAGAGAAAGTTTTTTCTCTGTGTGGGTAGGAGGGGAAAAAAGTGGAAACTATTAACTAAACCTAATAAATCAAAACTCAACCTCACACGCGCAGGCACATATGTGCACATACACACATGGGGGGGGCCCTTTGGGATAAAATGAGATAAATGACAAAACAACATATGAGAGACTTAAATTTATTTTAGTGAGTTATATGGGGTCCATACAGATTTCAAGCTAGTCTCATATTTGAAATGTACCTACATACAGCCAAAGTCATTTTGTACTTTAGAGGTACCTTAATTATAGAAAGTTGAATTATTTTCAATATTGAGAAAACTGAAGGGATGAGGGGGCAGGGAAGTCAACAAAAAATTTAGTAATATTCAGTTAGCTAGAAAATTCTTCTAATTAAGCAAAATTCAAAGTTCTTTTAGATTAGCCCCAAATGTACCAAAATTTCCTCAAACTCTCCTTGAATTCTTTTCCCTATAAAATGAGGTAAGAGGAAGTACACAGATACTCTACAATTTACCGGATGTGTATTATATGCTGCTAAACATTTTACCTTCATTTAACTAATTCAGTCCCAATCAAACTAATAGACTATTGTTTCAAAAACAAAATCATTTAAATAATTTAAATATCTTCCCCAAAAGTCACAAAACAGAGCCAAGATTCAAATACAGGTTTCAAGGCTCCACAGCCCATGGTCACAACCCTTACACACTGAGCTACAGAGGTAGAAATTGACTAGATTTGACTATTATCAAAAGCTCTTCTTTAAAAACAATTTTTCATAATTTTTGATCAAATCAGTGGTTGCCTGGGGCCTTGAATAAGAGAGGGATGGACTACAAAGAAACAGGAAGGTAACTTTAAAATTTATAATGAAATGATCCTAAATCTTGATTGTGGTAGTAATTTTATGAATGTATATAACCACCAATATTCATCAGTCTGTTCATTTTAAATGGATGCAGGTTACTGTAACTGAATTTTAAGTTTTTTAAAAAGGAGAAAATTATCTCACTCTTACAAAAATCAAACCTCTCCTAAATAGAAGGATGTCAGTATTTCTTCTCAAATTCTACAATATACTGAAATAATAAAGCCCTGAAATAACAAAACATTAACTCTCTGATAACTTGCTGTTTATTTTACATGCATTCTCTAATTATAACAGTAAGAGAAAATTACAGCTTACAATGCTGATGGAAAGTCAGGAAAAGTTTTAATTCCCTAAAAATCTATACATCACCAACACTCCCACTGTTTTCAAGTTCCAAAAAAATTTTAGTATAATAAATTTTTGGTAATTAAAAATAACTTCCAAAGTGTTTGTTAAATCTTTTACAAAATTACAAAAAATAAAATGACCAATAAATTTGTGTAGCTGAATGTGTTCGAACCCAAAGTTCATAACAAGCCAAAACTACCTCCTCTTCAGATCAGCATCCCAATTAGTCATCTTTTTTCCTCAGAAAAATCAAAAAGAAAAAAAAGAAATCCAGCTCTAGAGGGGGAAAAAAGGTAACACCCCTCTAAAAATGGTATGCTCAACTCCTGAAAATGCACTCATTATTGTAACATCATGTTTCTGGTAAATTCTACAAACTTTCAGCCTTTCTGTTGCCCCAACTAGTCTGTGTATGCTTTCAAGTGGTGGGAACATTTAGAACATTCAGAAACTAAGGTCACACAGCTTGAAATCACAAAGCTATAAGGACCACCAGCTCATTCAAAGCAATCTAGAAGAGCAATACACCTTTTTTTTTTCATTAATACAGCTATTAGTTAATAGTCCCAAAACTCTTTTTACTAAAAATATCTTCAGAGCCTATGGCAGATTTTTAAATCTCAATAGTAGACAATTATTTAGTCCTTAAAGATCAATTAAGAAAAAAATAGTAAAGCATACTGTAAATAAGATGGGTGAACCAAACTTTCCAGTATTTTTTTTTGCCAAAACTAGAATGACTTACAAATTTGCTTTCCTGGATTTAAATAAGCATATCAGAAAAAAGGCTTCCAGGGTCAAACACTGAGAAAGACTGATATAACAAAGTTAACATTTCTTTTTTTAAAGTTTATTTTAAAGATTTTATTTATGTATTTTTAGAGGGGAAGGGAGGGAGAAAGAGGGAAATATCAATGTGTAGCTGCCTTTCACACACCCCCTACTGGAGACCTGACTCACAGCCCAGGCATGTGCCCTGACTGGGAATCGAACCAGCAACCCTTTTGGTTTGCAGGCCAGCACTCAATCCACTGAGCCACAGCCAAGCTGAGGTTATAAATTTAATAATTAAAACATAACAAGTCTATCTAGGGTGTATTTTTTTTATTGATTTTAGAGAGTGAGGAAATGAGAGAAAGAGAGAAACATTTGTTGTTCCACTTATGCATTCATTAGTTGATTCCTGTATGTGCTCTGACTGGGGATCGAACCTGAAATCTTGGTATATCAGGACAACTGAGCTACTCAGTCAGGGCTATCTAGAGTGTGTTTTAAGTGACTAACAATATGTAAACACATCCAATCAAATCAGTACATATATGCTAAAACCCAAAATTATTTCTGGGTTCACAGTTATACCTCATGTTTACAGACAATAAAATGTATCCATCTAAGTCAGAAAACTGGATAGTCTGCTTAATTCAAAATTACTCATTCATTCAAGTATTTATTAAGCATCATAGGTACTAAACAAACCCCAGTCTCAAACTCAAAAAACTGACAGTCCAAAATAGAGAATAGACATAAAAACAAAACATGTAAACATCACAAAATATGTTAAATGTTGTTAGGGGCTACAGATAGTATCACAGAGGAAGGTGAAAATCATGAGACCAAGAAAAACTAAGCAGGTGATGTGTGAGGCTTCTAAAGGTTCAAAAGAGACTCGGGCAAAGGGAACAGCCTGTGCTAACTATGAATGGCCGAGTTTGATCCTAATGGGCCATTTAGATAGAGAGACTCAAACACGTATCAGTACTAATATCTGAATAAAATTTAATCTGAGTCCAGAGATAGTTCCTACTTTAAAATGCTTGTTTCATCTGAACTCTCAGAGAACTATACTTGAGCCAAATTAAGTTTACTCATGAAACTAGCACACATTGTTTTCTAAGTATTTCATGTATGAATAGAATGTAAAATGATTTAAAAAGCACCAACAAAAACACTTCTACAAAGATCCCCTTTAACTTAAGAGTAAATTAAAATTGAATAGCTCAACTTTTGAGAAACATATTCAAAGTAAAACTATACACCTTATCTCCTTAAAAAAAAAAAAACCAGTACATATAAACCTAAAGTTAAATCACTAAAGCAATTAAAGGCTCTAACAGGTTATCTTTTTGGAAGCTGTCTCATGCAGTCTATAGTTGGGTGAGTATGGAGTTGGCATGAAAGGGGGGACAAATATATATCAGGAAATTATGAAATCCAGGGGAAAAAAACTAAAGAGGGTAACAGTGATGGAGGCGATAAGGAGGGCATTCTGTGTATGACGGTAAATGAAGTACCTGCTAACTGGGAAACATGTGAGCCAAAACCTGAAATGAGAAAGTGATCCATGCATAAGAGGAACAGTAAGTAACCCAGGCAAGGATCTAACTGCAAGGCACTGGTGCCTTCCAGCCCCTACATCATAGTTTAAGTTAAACCATCAATTCATTAGGCATGCTTATAATGAACAAATTTCTAACAGGCAGCAGTAGTAGCAGAAGAAGAAAAATAAAAGCACCACTACTACTAATGATAACAAAGTTTAATGTGTTTTAACCTCATGCCAAGAACTGTTTCCATGCTTTACATTAATTTTTAATCGGAGGTGACTCTGCCACCCAGAGGACATTTGGCCATGTATGGAGACATTTTTGGTCATCACAACTGGAGAGGGCATGCTGACATCTGTAAGTATACTATGATGCTAAATCCCCGCAACAAAGAATTAACAGCCAAAAAAATAGTGTCTTGATTAAGAACTTCTGCTATACATTTTTTAATGTAATCCTCACACCAATGATGTATTATAATCCCAATTATACAAATAAAAAATTGGGATCAGAGAGATTAAATTATTTTGATACAGTAAGTGGTGGAGATGAAATCTGAACCCAGAATTTCATTCAAAAGTCAATGTATTTAACACTACCCTAAATTACCTCTTTATAAAGTTAAATTCACTGAATGTTTATTACGTGCCGGGTACCGCGCTAAACTTAAATGCATAATGTAATTTAATCTTCACAACTAGAGTTAGGAGGGTACTATTACATTCTCAATTTATAAGAGAGCAGCTAAAGCTTAGCAAAGTTACACCCAATATTACAGAGTAAACAAGTGACAGAGATAGGACTCAAATCCACTCTGACACAAAGGTCAGTTTTTTAATGGTATGGTAGGATAATAGGTTATGCTTCCAGTGTAGAGTCAAGGAAAAATCACTAAATAATTATGCCATGTGATATGACACAATTCGTATACAAAGTCATGCAAGGTGTCTGCCTTAATAATACCAAAGCAGACCTAAGAACCTAGAAAAAGAACTATCAAGTACAAGTTGAAATTTCCCAAAGCAGAATTACACTAACCAACAGTACTAAAAGAGTTAACTTCAAAGTTTACAGCCATATTCTACTGACATTATGGGAAACATTAGCAGTTTGAATTAACCATGAAAACAGTGGAAGTAGCTCATCATTAAAACTACGGCCTAGGTCATAATAGTTCAAACTAGGATGTACTTAGCATGTACTATGTGCCAGGCCCTGGGCATTATCTCATTAGTTCCTCACAACAACACTGTGAGGTAACTGAAATGATTATTTCTGCTTTACAGATGAACAAACTGATATCCAACCATTATATAATTCGCTTAAGGTCACATATCCAGTATATCTAAATCACAAACCAGACAGGTATGATTCAAAAGTCTATACTTTTAAACTACTGTATTTTATGCACCCTACTTGCATAACATATTAATTTTTATGTTGTTAATACATCATTAATGAAACCTTTAAAAATACTGTAAACGAAATGATGTACTCTTCTTCCAAAATAAATGAGGAAATATGCATTTAGCCCCTCCCTCCCTACACATAAAAAAAAAAATGGCTAGCCTCAATGAGTATAAATATTTTACAAATTATCAACTACAAACTTTGCAATTTACTTTCAGTCTACAATTTTAGAATGTTTCCATGTGGCCAGCTCACACAAATGATGAATAAATTCAAACTCTAAAGTTTAGCCTTTCTGTACAATCTGTAATGCCACACAAAGCAGTCTAATAGACTGTGCTAAGAGATTAAAATTTCTGTGTACTATTTAAGTTTTTACTTAACTATTTCCCTTTGTCCCCTCTTTATTATACAAATAATCAAAAATTTCAAATCCCCTGACCATTAAAAGATGACCTAAATTTAAATATACAACACATAGAATTGTCCAGTCTATACATTTGGCAATTCTTCATACAATGGCTTTTAACTCTTAATACAATGTAACACCTCATTTCTTTAAATCTTGTCTCTCAATTTAGACTATGTTCCTTGAGTACAACAGCATGTGGGTCTCAAATATTTTGAATCAAATCAATATTCTCAGTATCTTTCTCTGTGTAATCAAAGGGCAAAAATTTTAAAAAAGAATTTTTTTTTACTGTTTTCAATGCTAGTTTCACAAATGTGTAACAACATGCCAAGTGAATTTTATAGTTAAAAAAAAAAAGTTTATGCTTTTGCAAAGATTATCAAGAATTATTGGGGGGAGGGGGGGTACTCCAAGAATAAGTGAGAGAAATAAAGCTCAAGAAAAGAAATCCAGCAGCCAATTGTCAGAATTCTTGCAATGTAGATGAATGAAAATATTTAGAAAACAGCACTCCAAAACCCTGAACTCCCTACACTGTGCAGTGAAATAGTTATGGGTAATGCACAAACTTGAGACACTAATCACGAAGATTCATTGTCCCCCAAAAACAGTCGAGACCTTCATACAAAAATTATGTAAAAATAATTTTGCAAGAAATCTTCCTAAAGACAAAGTGGTGCACTTGAGAGAGCAAAATGTACCAAAAAGCAAACACCTTATTACCGTGTCAAGGAAGATAACCATTACCTACATTTTAGTACCCCCCAAACAGAACTGTATACATAATTTACATTCACCAATTTTCCCAAGTATAATCCATATTACATAAAGCCTAAACTCAAAGATAATTTTGCATTAATCTAAATTGTCTTTTACTGCCTTCCAAATTTAATCGTTTTATTAATAAGCTATTACATAAGTAAAGATTAACCTTTCCTGATACCAATGTTAAAAACAATTTATATTTTAATAATATAGTTTTAAATAATATAGACAATTTCTTTTCAATTTTTTTCTATCCTGAAATTTACATTTTAAGTAAAGCTATTTTTTTATCTACATTTACAGATTTGAGGTATCTGAATAGGCAACAGATGAAAGTATCACAGGATTAGCTAAAGTTAACTGAGGTCTATCCAAACAGCATGGAATGCTTAATTCAGTGTGATAAAGAAGGAAGTTCACTATCCTCCCAATGGATGCAAAAACAGTATAAAACTTATTTTCATGCTCTTCAATAAATGGACCTATAAAGCATACAAAGAATGGGAAAACTGGCGCTATCACTAACTCATTTTTTATCTTTTTGACAAATCACCAGTATAACTATGAAATAAAGCTCAATATCTAAGATTGTAATTCCACATACTTTAAAAGTGGCCCACTTTCTGCTGCTAAAGAATCGACTTAACTGTGTGTGGCTTAAACAGAGAAATAACAGCTCCTAAAAAGATCCCCCCAAAATTCTGTTACTATCATGGGAAAATGGAACATGCAGTTAAAAACAGTAATAGTGATGACTGATGAGGAAGGGAAATTAACATATGGCCAGTAACCAGAAGAACTGGGAAGAAAAAATAATTAAATATTCTAAGTGGCAGTGAATGTTAAAAATTACTATTCCAAATAACAATCTTTACACAACACCTTTTATGCTCTGGAATGAAGATTCAAATTCAAAAATAAAAGAATGCTACAAAGACTTCCTGATTCCTTGACTCATGTCACTTTCACACCACAAACACACATCCACATACAATTTCACAATCCCAAACACTTTATTCATGAATAAAAAATAGTAGGAAATGAATAAACAGAGGCGTAATTCTGGAAGAGCTCAAACAACTAGTTTGGAAAAAAAGAAAACAATTTCAACCCCCAAATAATAACCGATTAGAACAATGTGTTACTTAAGTACTCCCTAAGTAGTTTACTGTATAATTTTTTTTAGCTTAAAATAAGATGGTAAATTTATATGGGGAACGTTCAATTACCTGTGTTTAATTGTAAATTAAGCATCTCTACATGTAATGAAGATTAATTAGGGCTAGGCAGAAATTAAAGCGTTGTTGTCACTTACATTAATCACTATCCATGATCATTTTCTGCGAATGATTCTTGAAAAGCACCCAAAATCATACCCAAACTACCTCGAATCGTAAGTCTAGGAAATGATCATCGGACCAGGCAAAGCATTGCATGGGGCAAGAAGGGGACTCGACTGTGCGCGGTTCCAGCATTCCCTCCCAATCTCCCTCGTCCCCGCCTCCCCCCCGTGTCAGGTGATTAGTTATTTAGCACTATTAAACACGCACGCATCGACGAGTGGTTCAATAAATTACACGTATTATCGGAAGGTCAGGTTCTAGGCTTATCCTTTCAATCTAAGCTAAAGGCGTCGACAGTTTGGGTCCTGGGCACAAAAGCGCGCGGCAAAAGGAGGATGGATGGAGCGCCAACTCCCCATCTCCACAAGCGGGAACCGGACTCAGCCTCACAGCAAAGGCCAGTCCTGGCTACCTGGATCCAGGGCCCAAAGATCGATGTCGGGGTTCCCTTGGAGAAAAGAGGCCCGAAGGGCCGGGTTGGGGGCCTGCAGGCCTGGCCTTCCCAGCAGCACCCGCCGTGACTCCGGGCCTGCGTGCCCGCGCGGCGGCGGTGGGGCACACTCACCCCCGAAGGCCCGGGAGCAGGAGCCGGGGAAAGACCGCGGTCCCGACCCTCCACCTGGCGACCTCGCCGCCGCGGCTCCCTCCCCAGCCCGCGGTCCAAACGGTCCCGGGCGGCAGAGGCGCGGCCCGGGTAGGCCGAGGACGTTGCGCAAGAGGCCAGAAAGATTTCCCCGCCGCGCGGGAGAAAGGCGCGGAGTGTCCGCCGCGGGAGGGGCGGGGAGAGCAGCCGAAGCGTCGCGCGTGTGGAAAGGGATGGGGGAGGGGAGGATTGCCCGTCTCCCTGGCCGCGGCCAGAGCCGCAACTCACCCAGCTCCGCCAGACGAGCGCTACCACTGGCAGCAAGAGGAAGATGATGGCCGCCGCCGCCGCCGCCGCCGCCGCCGCCGCGGAGGAGGAGGAGGAGGAGGAGGAGGAGGGGGCCCGGTGGGTGCCGCGGAGAGGGGGTACGCGCAGGACGTCGGCGTCGCTGCCACAGCCTCTTTTCTTCACGGGGTCCGGCGGCTGCTGCTGACGACACCTTCCTGGCTTCTGCGCCGCCCTCTTTATCCTCGTTGCAGCCGCCGCCGCCCAGAGCCCGAGGACCGCCCGCCTCGTGAGGACTGCGCTACGGTGCGAGACCCCACAGCCATGGGCTTGCGGCGGCGGCGCGGGGGTAAAAGCGAAGCCTGCGTCACGTGACCCCACTGTTTACCGTTCCGGGCCGCGGCCTGAGCCGCCGCCGCCGCGCCTGCGCGCTGTGGGCCCTGGTGCGCGGCGCCGCGACGCCTCGCCTCCGCGCCTCGGCGGGGCCGGGGGCGGCTGCGCTCCAGCGCGCTTCCGCGCCATTCCAAGGCTTCTAAGGGACCAGGCACCGCCCGCGGGATTCTAGCTTTCACCTCGCGGGCACCCACTGGTAAGCGAGAGGCAAGTAGGTGGTCTCTTTTTCTCGGTTGTAATAAGCACTAAGGCTTCATAATTAATGTAATATTAATGGGCAAATTACTCTTCCAGGTACTTTTTATCACTTCGTTATGTGTTTAAGAATGGTGGAGGTGGTTGTAGTAGTTAAGCCCTTTGCCCCAGAATCTGCAGGCTCTGAATTGAAGTCCCATTATTAACCATCTCGATAGCTGATCTACTTCAGGACTCAAGCTACCTCCTCCAAGAAACATTCCTCATGTAAGTCAGCAGTTCCCAAAGTGTGGCCACAGGATCCCCTGAGAGGTCCCCAAGACCTTTCAGAGAATCTTCAGTTCTTCTGCAACTGCATGTGTATATAAAGCCAGGTTTTCATCATCTGCTTAAACCAAACAATACGTAGAAACCGATTAAATGCAGATAAAAGGATGAGAATTCAGCCGCCTCCTAAGCCACATGTTGAAGTTTGCAACAATTTAAAACTGCCAAAATTTAAATTCCCAGAATTTAAATTTCCCATAATTTAAATTTTGGCAAAGTGTATTTTTAATAATATACAATCTGGGATAACAGTGAGTTTTGTTATTTTTAATTTTTTTCCCTTAGGTTTAATTTCTAAGAGGGTAAATGTCAATAACTGTAACTAACCCATGTAAACAAAAGCTCTTCAATGTCTCTCAGTAATTTTCAAGAGTGGGTCCAGTTTATTGGCTTCCTACGGTAGCTTTGGGTAGACCCCTATCTCTCAGCCCTTAGCAAGCACCGTGAGGCTAGTCATCACCCTGACCAAAATGAGCCCCTTAAGGACAGGAATTGTGCCTGCTATCTGCAGGGACCATTGCAGTACCCTCTAAAGAATGACAGCCAGCACCTATGTGCTCTTCTAAAACCTTTATTTGCTGATTTAAGCCTCAAACCAACCACAGGCCACATTTTAAGATTTGTGCAGAGTAGAATAATATCGTGCAGGCACGTGGTGAAGATCTCTTCTGTACTCTCTCCAGTCTTCCGGTATTACTAGCACTCCCAATTCCAAATGCTCTGCCACAAAGGAGACTTAGATTGTCCTAATTCTACTTGAATTCTAGAATTCCAACCCCTACCTTGGCTCATCAATCCCTCAAAACTTTGTTCTACAATCTTTTTTATAATGTTTATTGAGAAGGAAAAAGAAATAAGTAATTTAAAAATGTTTTTTAGCCCTGACTCATGTCTTAGTGGTCTGGGTGTCGTCCTGCAAAGAAAAAGGTCACCAATTGTATTCCATGCCTGGGTTGCAGGTTCATCCCTGGTCAAGGTCTACAAGAAAGATAACTGGTCCCTGTTTCTCTCACACTGATGTTTCTCGTTTTCCCTCCCTTCCCCTCTAAAAATAAATAAATTTGTTTTTAAAAATGTTTTTTATTTGGAAAGTGTGGAATGAATTGCAAAAATAAATCTAATTTTATTCTTATTCCTTTTCTGGACCTCAGTGTGAAATTTGAAAAAGCCTTTAGGAAAGAATAAGATTATTATTATAAATAAAATCCAACCCTAAAGGAATTCAATAGGTAGAGCTTGAATGAAAAATCTTTAGATGGAAAATTCCCTTAGATGAGCTGGGGGAAACTTACAATGTTAGAGAAATTTTAGTAAATTTATCAAAGAATCAAAATGGAAGTAAGAAAGTGTAGGACAGGAGCCTGTCCCATTTATAAAACAAAGTTTTCTAATCCTAAAAAAGCCAACAAGTTTGGCTCAAATCACAGTATTTTGATTCTGTTATTTTGAACCAGCCAAGAGTCCAGATTCATATTTGTCCATTAATGATCTTTGGTTTTTGCTTCCAGATATAAACACAAACTATTTGTCTTTTACCCAATCCATACAAACTTTGCTGAAAGACAGAATCAGCATAATAACAGGTGGAATGGCTCTTACTGAATGGAGGACACTTTTAGTTAAAAGACCTATCAAAAAATCAGGTTGTATTGGTAACATTGAAACCTCCAAGTTAACTCAAAATTAAATCTAATAGAAAACAAGGTAACAATGGCTAAAACTGACAATATGTGTGTAATTGACTTGAAAATTATGAAAAAACAAAAACTGACAAAATTTGGATCTTGTAAACTTAACCCAGAAAAATTGAACCTGGAAGAGAGGCCATGGAAGACACCTCACAACACAGATACAAAAGTTAATTTTGTATGAAATATGTGTCCCATTGCTGAAACATTGTTCTCCACAGTATCAGTTCACTAAAGATGGTAGGGGGCTGAGCAGTGGGAATGGAAGCGTTAACTTTAGTGAACAGAAAGTCAATAAAAATATTAATTTTTAATGATTTTTTTTCTCTGGGAAGCACTTTCTTTATACACCAATACACTTTCGTGTTAATTTAGATAGGTGTAATTTTTTTTTTTCCTTAAACATGGGATCAAAACAGTGGGGTCAAAATATCCTGAACTCATTTTATTAATAAGGTCATTGTAAAATTTAGAGACTTAACCCAGAATACATTGTCCTTATGGCAGGCTTGCTCCCTTCCCACACAATTCTTTACCTGCTTTCTCCAGAAAGAGGGCTCCTAAATACTCTGGCTCTCAGCAGAAAATAATGGATGGAAAGGGAATTCATGCACCATCCCTGGGTAAATAGTTTGCAAAGCATACCAGAGTTCAGAGAATCCTAGAGGGGCTGGGACAAGCAAACAAAGCTTACCCATGCACCAGGACTATGTAAGGCATAAAAGCACCTTTGTAGACCTCAGCAACTCCTGAGGTACAGGGAAGGAGCAAACCTATTTCTCTCAGCCCCTCTATATTACTCTCCCTGCCAACCCATAACTATTTTGTCCCTTTATTTATTTATTCCATTAAACATCCCAGTGGGTTCCAGCAGTAAAGGTATTGTTTTTGGCCTCAAGGGACTCAGAAGAATGAGAAAAGGGCCAGTGGGCAATTACAAGGCAACCAGTATATGCTTTGAGAGCTGTTGGCACAGTAGACATGTATTAATGCTTTACTTGTCCTGGAGTGGGAAGAGAGCATTTGTTTTTTCCTCTTTTAAAAATTTTTCTTTTCTTTTTTTTTTTTTTTTATCCTCACCGAGGACATTTTTTCATTGCTTTAGAGAGGGAGAGAGCAATGTGAGAGAAATACGGATTGATTGTCTCCTTGTAAGTGCACCAGCCAGAGCTTGAATCCACAACATGGGTGTGTGCTCTGACTAGGAATCGAACCCACAGCCTTTCTGTCTATAGGATGATACTCCAACAAACTGAGCCACATCAGCCAGGGCTCAATTTTATTTTCCAATTACAGTTTACATTTAATATTAATTTGTATTAGTTTCAGGTATACAGCAAATGGGTTAGACAATCACAAACTTTTACAAAGGACTCCTTCTACTATTTCTAGTATCCACCTGGCACCGTACATAGTTATCACAATATTATTGACTATATTCCCTGTGTTGTACTTTACATTCCCATGACTCTTTTTAAGTGGAAATTTGTTTAATCCCTTTAAACTTTTTCACCCATTTCCCCAACCCATAGGTAGTGACTATTTTATAAGTACCAATTTGTTTTTTTAAATATTTTTTATTTTATTTATTTTTAGAGAGAGGAGGAGGGAGAGAAAAAGAGAAACATTGATATGATACAGGAACACTAATAAATTGGTTGCCTCTGGCATACACCCCAACTGGTCCTGCAACCCAGGCATGTGCCCTGACCAGGAATTGAACTAGCAACCTCTTACTTTGCAGAACAATGTTCACCCAACTCAGCTATGCTGGTCAGGGCTTGTAACTACAAATTTGTGCTTCTTAAATTCACCTTTTTCACTTAGTCTTCCAACCCTACCCCCATCCCTCAACCATCCATCTGTTTTCTGTATCTATGAGTCTGTTTCTGTTGTTCATTTATATTGTTCTTTAGATTTCATATATAAATGAAATTATATGATTTTTATCTCTCTGAGTCACTTATTTCACTTCCCATAATATCCTCCAGGGCTATCCATGCTGTAAGATTTTCAAAGTGGAATCATAGGGTCATAAGGCAGTTTTATTTTTAATTCTTTGATGAAACTCCATACTGTCTTCCACAGTGGCTGCACCAATCTGCATTTCTACCGATAGTGTAGGAGCATTCCCTTTCTGACACAGCCTCACCAACATTTGTTATTTATTGATTTATTGATAATAGACATTTTGACATCTTATTGTGATTTTTATTTACATTTCTTTGATAACTAGTGACATTGAGCGTCTTTTTATAAGTTTATTGACCATCTGTATATCGTATTTGGAGAGGTGTCTATTCAGGATCTAGCATTTCTGATGCAGGGTATGCCTTTGAGGCAAAAAAATACCAGAGAATCTTGTGCATTTCAGGAACCCATATACATGAGACAGAGCTTACATACATGAGAGGTTCAGAAACAGAAAGTTAAAATAAGGTCTATATGGCATTCTGAGCAACCCATGAGGTAAGGTACCTTGGGGCTTCAGAGGGAAGGAAGATCGTTCACAGGACAATAAGAGTAGATGTTCAAATAATTCAAAGTTTGTCCTGCCCTGTAAGTCATAAGCACTATTTCTGTTGATAACTCTTGTTATAGGCTAGAGCCCAAATTTAAATGCTCTGAGGGGAGGTATAAATTCTCATGAGCCCTTAGGGTCTCATTGTCTTCAACGCAAAATAATTCACATTCCAAAGTGGCACATCTTGGAGAGGCCTGTTCTGAACTGCTTCACTAACAAGAAAAATAATGCATTTTATGTATACAGGAAATGAAAAACTGTACTTAAAAGAAATCTTGACACAGAAGACAAAG